AAATAAGAATCTGCAATGTTATGTGTTCTGACCTGGCATCTTAGCTTCATTCATCTTTCCACCACCATAATGTAGCTTCCCTGTGCATTCTCTATAAATATTTTTCATGGCAATTGTTCTAATGAACTTTCCTCTTTGGTACCTCAACTTTACAAATTCTATTCTAATAGTTTCTTCTCTCACACTTCTCATCTGTGGAACTCATTTCTAGTTTCTTGCTTTCCTGTAAACTACAATCTTCTAAAATTTAAAGGCAATGTCAATCACCATCTTCTGTCTTTCTGAGTCCTGTTCTTTTATTGTTCATTCTCCTTAATACCATTTTGTCATTTTCTTCCACTCTCAGTAACCCCTTGTGTCTTAGTGGCTTTATCACCTTGCTTGGGGAGAGAGGCTTCAAGATGACAAAAGGGAATGCAACTACTTGCACCTGGTGCTTCTTGAATGTGACAGAAAACCAGCTTAGTGGTATTGCAAAATACTGCATGGTTAGAAGAGATGATGCTTTAGCCCCAAAACCATGCATCAATCCAGAGATATGATCTGATAAGCATTTTGTTGTAGCAGTCATTATATATATATATATATATATATATAAAATCATTATTATTATTATTGTCAGCTGTCAATATACCTCATAACACCCTCGAGTGCTTAGCCTTGGAGCGGGTAGAATGAAGATCAACATGTTTTAGTGGAATCAGCAGTTTTCAGTCAGCTTGTCTGAATCGTCTTCAAGAAGCAAGAGTAAGAACTAAAAGGTCAGCAAATCTAACAGTGATCTCATCCCACAATCCTTACTCTTGCTCCATATGCAGCCTCCTTTGTAAATCACTAGCAGGTTTTAAGTGCCACTTAAGATTATTGCACAAAATTTCATAACTGGTTCAAATAAGTTGTCAGATCCTCATACGCCGAAACTGATGAGAGAGTCCATTATTATATTATAATCATTATACATAATTAAATCAGGAGCAAATAGGAAAATGTTTATAAATTTGACATGTTTCAATGACTTCATCAGAAATTTGTTTTTTGAACAAGGAAACATATGGAAAATGTTTTGGTATTTTGAATTCTATGCTGTTTGTTTCCATTGCTCAGCTAGATATCATGTGTTCATATTTTATAGCATTGGTGTTTGTCTTTTTGTGTGTCTGTCTGGATTCTAGTTGGAATTAGCAAAACATTTTCCTCGTCTTCTCTCATTCCCCTCACCAAATTCCGATGAAGTCATCGGAACATATCAAATTTATAAATATTTTCCTATTTGTTCTTTATTTCTTTATTCTGTCAAATTTAATCCATATTTTTAAGCCATATCTGGGTGCAGCATAACTATTTACCCATTATTTAAAAAAAATGAAACCTACCTATTCATAAAAATAGTTTCAAATTTTGCATAAAGTTTTCTAATGTTTTTTGTTTTATTTTTTACAATTTAATATGGTGACTCAAGCAAAATGTGATTAAATTGTTGCATTGAAAAAGGTTGGTATGAAGGAAATGGCGGGTATAATTTTGAGCTGATAAAACAGTTGAATGTTTGCAGAAAAACTATTCTTAATGTGTAGAAAATTTTCAAGACGTGTAAACAAATCACCAAATCCAAATCCAGAAAAAAATGTTCAGTTCATAGCAGGAGTGTCATTGGAGCCTTCAAGAAAAGGGTGAAGAAAAATCCACAAAGAAACATGAGGAAGATAGCAAAAGAGCTGGATATTTTGGATCAGTCTCTAAGAGGGATTGTGATTTCAGGCTAAAAATATACAAGATTCAATGATAACAGCTGCTTTCAAGTGCTTCCAAATCAAAAAAAACTTGAAGGAGGGTGAAAAAAAAATTAGAGGAGATCTAGTGAGCCACAAATAAAAGTTTCTGTTTGGTCAGATGAGAAATTTTTCATAGTGGTGTCTGTGGTCAACTAACAATACAGTAAGGTTCACATCACTTCACTAGGAAACATTCCTGAAATTGTCAGAAAACATTTCAAGTGACAGAAACCAACTGTTGTTGTTTTTGGCGGTTTAAAAATTATCTTTGAAGGAGTGAAAAGGAAGAGAAGCATTTAACAACAAATGTTGAAGAGAGATGTGTTGCCCTGGTTGTCAGCCATTTCTGGAAGTCACTATATCTTTATTCAATCTGCACACATGTCTAATTGTCTAATTTGATGCAGAACTAGTGTAAGAGACATTTCTGATGATTTTTTAACAAGTCAGTTTAGCCTCTATCAAGTCCTGATATTAATCCTATGGACTTTGGGATATTGCTCATATTGGAAAGCAATGTTTCACATATCGCAGACTCAAATGTGTCAGACTTGCAAGAAGCTCTAAAGATGGCATGGTACAATTTGAGTGAAGAGGTGGTGAAGAAGTCATGCACTTTAGTTGAGAAGAGATTGAAGGCTCTGATGAAAGTGAAGGGCAGCCATTTTGAATTGTAAATATAAGTTATTTTGTGACTTGTAAACTTTTATTAACCAAAACTGAGAACTTTTTATTTTATGATAGATTGCATAATAGATAAATATATCGACTGCATCTGGTATACATACATACATACATACATACATACATGCAAATACACACACACACATTTATATATATATATATATATATATATATATATATATATATATATATTACTAACAGTAGAGCCTGGGGATGTAACAGTAAGAGATAGATCAAGTATCGACCATCATAAAGACTGAAAAATAAAATTGACGAAGATTATTGTTTAAGGTTGACGGACACGCATGTCTTAATTAGTTTTTGTTTTTTTTAATTTTTGTCTGTTTTTTTTATGAATTGGTCAAACCCAAACTCAAACAAAAGCATTGTTTTCAATCGTTATGAGTCTACCGATTGAATAGAATTTTATTATAAACAATTGTCTCGTAAATTAAATTTTTAAAGCATTCTGAATCTAAAAATAAAGAAAAAAGTGTGCAAGACAATAAGAAACACTACCTGCCAAAAAAAAAGTGAAGTTTTGTTGAAAGCGGTTGAAAAATGTAGGAAATCTGATCCCATATATAAACGAACACAGACACACACTCACAAACAACCTGGGTTTTATAATAAGTATAACTCGATATGAGTTGTCCCCCTTTATTCTCGACAGTGTTGCCTCTTAATCATGTTTTCAAATTGATTTCGTGCAAAAACAATTGTGTTTTTCCAATTTTTGGCGCTGTCAGAACCACCGCAAGGTAATTTTACGTAGTCCTGTGAAATTTCGTTGAAATTGGTTGAAAAATGTAGGAAATCTGATCCAATATATAAACGTACAGACACACACACACACACACACATACACAACCTGGGTTTTATAATAAGTATGATAATTATTTTTTTATAAAATATGAATCATTTGCTACATAAGAATTCTCATGTTTCAAAAACAAGAGCCAAAAACCTCAATATAATTATTGAAATTAAATTGAATTAAAGTATCAAGCACTATTGAGGTTTTTGGCTCTTGTTTTTTTTGTTTTTGAATCATGAGAACTCTTATGTAGCGAAAGAATCATATTATAATTTAAACTCTACTCCTGTATGGAGCACTGTCTTTTAAAAATAAAAACAAAAATACGAAAGAACCCTGGATTATTTACCTAACGTGTTCTTTTCCTATTTTTCTATATATTTGCACACACACACACACACACACACACACACACACACACATATATATATATATATATATATATATATATATATATATATATAAATATATATACAAGTGTATGATTGGTGTATACAGAATAAATTCCAATCATCAACAGTTACTATTCTTAAAAGAGTGCTCAATACAGAGTAGAGTGAATATACATATTTATTTAAAAATTATAACATAGATTTTTTTAAAAAAATAACACAATTTTGGTGTCTTGTTGAAGACACCAAAGGTGTGGAAAAAATGGCTATTTTGTAGTGATTTTATAACATATCTATGTTATAATTTTTAAATAAATAAATATACATATATATATATATATATATATATATATATATATATATATATATATATATATATATATGAATAAAGAATAATGGGAAATGTATATCAATTTAATATCCTTTTTTATTTCTTTTTCATTAGAGATTGAAAGAAAACAGACTAAAAGACTGACCCAAATAAAATTGAAAATGCCAGTGTTTCTATCTTTTTGCCTGTTTTTTTCTCAATCTCTGATGAAGCTTTGATAAAAGTGAATCATGTTAGATTGATATACATTTCCCATTTGTTCTTTATTTTACTATCCTGTTGGATTCCAATCCATATTTGATCTCCATATCATCTTTAACTCATGCATGAAGGTTATCGAATGTCTAGCCTCATTGATGAGCTGCAATACAGTGAAAGTCTGTCTGTGGATGATGGTTTTATATATATATATATATATATATATATATATATATATATATATATATATATATAGTGGGTATATTTGAATATAAAAGGTTTTCTTAAACATATTTTGTTGAATTTGTCTTATATTTTCAAATATTTTTTTCTAAATGACAAATTAATTTCCATATGCTAGGATTTAAATTACAAAAAACTGTGCACAGTATGTGTTTGTTCATAAAGTATTTCAAGCTTTTAACTGTTTTTACTCATTGGCAGGAATTAATGTCCTGTTATGACTTTGGACTTTGATTTAAATATAATGCATTAGTTATTTTTTATTTTTGAATGTATTCAATATCTTGTGAACATGATGCTATATTTTAATTTAAATGATTACGATATCAGTTTATGTGTCATTATATGTATTCTGAGAATTAAATATATTTTAAATTTTGCATTCCTAAACTATAAGTGATACTTGTAATTATTAGTTGTTTTAATTTAATATGAATAACTTCTAAAATTTGTAATCCTTTTTGGGAGTTTATTTTACTAATTATTATTGTATTAATCACAAGAAGTTGTCTTATATTATTGTAATTTTTGTTTTTCTATATCATGTGTTGCTGCATTGTGCTTTAGATAGATAGATATGAACAGACTGATAAATAAATAGATAGATACGAACAGAGTGATAGATAGATAGATAGATAAATAGATAGATAGATAGATAGATATGAACAGATTGCTAGATAGATAGATAGGTAGATATGAACAAATAGATAAATAGATGACTGATAGATAGATAGATAGATAGATAGATAGATAGATAGATAGATAGATAGAAATGAACAGATTGATAGCTAGCTAGCTAGCTAGCTAGCTAGATAGATAGATAGATAGATAGATAGATAGATATGAACAGACTGATAGATAAATATGAACAGACTGATAGATAGATAGATAGATAGATAGATAGATAGATAGATAGATAGATAGATAGATAGATAGATCAATTATTTGTGCATGAATTTGTTTATAATCCTAACTGATTGGATAATTTTTAAACCATAGAATATTGTAAGACAATGTTCAGGAACATAAATTCAACAAATCACTCATCTCTAGAGAACTTGATTAATAACGTTTTGAATCCCTTAGTGATATAATTAAAGATTTTCCTAAATAGCAATAATTGCATTGTCTGTTGTTAAATGCCAGGGAAATATGAAACAGAAACAGTTTCAATAATATTAATCATCATGCTTGCATATATGATGTATAACCCAAAAGTTTAGAGAATCTATCAACATGCACAAATTTGAATAATTCTTACTGCTAACATCTGTGATCTACATTTATATATTTTTATGCAGTTTAAATAAGTATAATGCCTTGTAAATTATGTCTATGCACATATATTGTTTTTTAAAAATCATTGCATGCCAAGCAATGCCATAAGGTCACTAACACATAAAGAGTTACTGAAAGTAGAAGAGAATGGGAAGACCTTAATGAGAAGAAAGGACAATAAAAGAACATGTTTCAGGAAGATGGAAAATGGTGATTGATGTTAAATTTTTTTGGCATCAAATTTATCAGTTCTGGTACCTTCTCTTAAGTGTTCGCTATCTAAATGGTATTGAAAACACAAATAAAATCTCTTACAGCATTTTCTCTGGATATGTGTCTTATTTAACAATCCAAAATTACCCAGACACATCCAGTAGGATTGTTAGAAGACAGATAAGAATTGGTCAATTTTCAATCTTCTTTTGTTATATGTTGTGGAGAAACAGTTCATAAAATGAGTGTTGTTCTAACCCATTACTGAATATTGAGAAAAAAAAACTATTGTGTATAATACACACACACACACACACACACACACATATAACCTGGCCGTATGTCTTGAAAAGGACCTCCAATCGGTTGTGGACTGGGGCAGGTATTGGCTGGTTAACTTTAATGCCTCAAAAACAAAACTGCTCTCTATTACTTACCAGAGAGAACCATCCCTACCCCCTATTAGAATGTCTAATGCTCAACTCCACTAGAGCACCTCTTTGCCACTGCTTGATCTCATATTGTCTGCTGACCTGAAATGGAATGAATACTTTGAGTCAATAGCTTCGTCCACTGAAATTTTTCTCACTGCAGTCAATCCTTCAAATCTACAAATCAACCATTCGCCCTTGCATGGAGTATTTCTGCCATATATGGTCTGGAGCCCCTTCTGTTTACCTCGAGGTTCTTGATAAGATCCAGAGATGGATATGCAATGTAATTGGCCCTGATCTGGCATCTCATCTGCAGCCGCTCTCTCACAGACATACCGTTGCCTCCCTCTGTCTTTTTACAAATACTTTCACGGTAACTGCTCCAGTGAGCTGCTTTTGCTGGTTCCCAGACTTCGTAAATTTAAGCGTTCTACTAGGCTGGCATCTCATTCACACCTGTTCACTGTTGAAACAGTAAAATGTAGCCATCTCTTCTACTCCAATAGCTTCATGTCTCGCACCTCTCACCTGTGAAACCCCCTCCCCATTTCTTGTTTTCCTGATAACTATAATCTCCAACTATTTAAATGTAACGTCAATCAACGTCTCCAGATGCCCTGATCTATCCCCTAACCGTCTCTTCATTCTTTCCTCTATCACTCATCTTTGTTCTCACTCCAACTCTGTAACCCCTTGCATGCTAGTGGCTTCCCACCTTGCTTGGGGTTGAATGCTTAAAAAAAAAAAATATATATATATTTGGATTGTTATTCTCTGTAGACACAAGGAATGTCGAAATACCATTATTCCAAATTGCTTCTCAATATTAAGTGATAATCTACCGTAATCCACACAAAATTATTTGCTATACTCACCTTATGTAGTGTTAAAAAATTGAGTAAATGGCTATCAAAAAATTAATATTTTCCCAGAAACATTCATACTTAAAAGTAGAATACAATTTTTGTGAGTGATCTTAATTTCAGAGTTATAAATAAATAGCCAGACACTTGCTCTATTATATATATATATATATATATATATATATATATATATATATATATATATATATATATATATATACAGTAGAATCCCTGACAACTGGACTAAGAAGGCCTTCTGGATATGAAGAATTGGTTACAAAGTCTGGATATAAGGGGTTATATTTAGATTAAAATAAAAGAACTGAAACCAGGTTTAACACTTATTTTCAATGTTTTATAGTAAACAAAATAAGCTAATGGTGAGTGAAATATAATGAAATTGATTTTAAGGAAAAAGAAATAAATTATGTAATGTTAATGAAAATTCATTAAATTAGTATGCCACATATGCAAAACAAATAATGTAACAAGGATTTTTTAATCGCTGTTGCATGATGATTCTTTCTCTTCTAATGTTATTCTCAACTTTTTCCGCATTTCGTTTTGTTTTTGTTCTTGAAATTTTTTAAATGAAAGACACTTTTTAACTCTGCATGCATTATTGCAGTCATCATAGCTGAATGCTGGTTTTCTTTCCATAAAACTGACAACCTTTTCAATAGCTTTTTCAATTTCAGTCCATGTTTCATCACAATCATGTTTTTTTTTATTTCTTTGTTTATTGTGACAGTGTGAATGCTGGAGAATATTTTCATTGGAAGATTTTATATCATACAATGTTGACTTTCCTATATTGAACTCAGCCATTAGTTACAATGAACTTTCACAAGCGTCTAGTCTGTTTAAAATTTCCACTTTTTGCAATAACTCCAAAGTTGTATTCTTCTTTTTCCCATCATCTTTTTCCCCAATACAAGCCATTAGAGTGAAATGATCATGAGCAATTATCCAAAGTAAATTTCCTGGAAAACAGAAATTTCAAATCAGTTACATATCCCCCAAATAGTTCAAGTATACACATCAAAATGAAATCTTTTTTATAATCTACAAATACCAATGTTGTTAATGAAAATTTTGTTATGAAGGAATCAAATTATCATCCACTAGATAATTTAATTGACATATATTCTGGATGTAATTTTTAATATCTATCTATCTATCTATCTATCTATCTATCTATCTATCTATCTATCTATCTCTATCTCTCTATATATATATATATATATATATATATATATATATAGAGAGAGAGAGAGAAGGTATTACCAGAAATTTAAGAAAAATTGGTGTGTAAAAGCTTTCTTAAAAAAAAATTCATAGAAAATTATTTTTTTTTATTTCTTGACAGAATGATTGTGATAGATGCATGAAATTTCATTGAAACACAGGTAATGCTGGGTAACCTGCCAGGTAAATAGATTGATTAATTTTTTTAGCCTAAAACTGATGAAAAGCTGTTGGTAATAGCCATGTACAATGATTGATGCAGTTCCCACTGTTCAATAGTGACTTGTCTATACTTCGGACAACATCAGACTTAAATCATATGTTTTTAAGAATGGGCAAATTTTTTTTTATGAACATTTCAAGATTCAAACACCAAGAAGTGATTGATTGTGTAATATAGCAACAATTGTAAATAGAAGCTTTATTTAGTTAATTCAGCTTTACCACTGAAAACCTTTATTTTATTATAGTGGATGGTTACAAGTGAGAAGGAAGATGGACATTTTTATGTTATTACCACAACTTGATTGATTTGTTCTTTATGGTTTATCAACCTTTATGGGTTATTTAAAACCAAAACTTATTTTGAATTATAAGAATAATTCTATTCTTTTTTTTTGTCAAGTTAATATCAAATTAACATTGTTTTGAAGACAACAATAATTTTTCTCGATACAAGTCCTACTATTAACCCACAGCTGGGGAAAGAAGAGTTGGATTCATACCTTTCTCAAGGCTATTTGCATATAAGTGAATTTAACAAATGAGTGGAATTAAAACTCAGCTCCCTGATTTCTCATTCCAAACTGCTAACCGCCACACCATCTGTACAATTTGCAAGCACTAAACAGGAGACAATTCTAAAATCCTTATGATTGTCTTAATCTCATTTTAATCAGGTATTTCAAATATAAGAAAGCAATGAAAGTACACACAAGTAATAATCCTGATGATTAGAAAGATAAGTGAGGTATATTAACATTTTTCTTATTCCAAAAAAAATATCTGAATCAGTTATTTACTCTTCTCAAAAGTCAAGGATATATTCCCCTTCCTACTAACACCCTCCTGTGGAAAGCAAATGGCACACTCATTGGAGAAAAATGTCAAGTACTTTTAAAATCTGTGATACAAAATTATTCAAACCACATTGACATCAAATATATTTAGCAGACCTTTCCCTTGTTCTGGATGTGTACATGGCCAGATGGTTATCTGTAAGGAAAATGGTATCAGCAGACCAAGTTCAAATTCTAGCTTGGAATTTGAACTCAGCTCACCAATTACCATTTTCATGCAGATATGTAGTTTTTCTCTTGACTCCACTATTACTGTCTCCTCCCTTGGAAATTTTTTATTGTTTTAAAAAGTTATTTTTAGAATTTTGACAAAACCTGAACTAATGAAACTGGAAAACTTAATGAAGCCAACCTTTAATAACTTCAATTATAAACATGGCTACAATTTACAGGCCATATTTAGAAATTAAGAATAGATCAACTTTCAGTAACTTTTATACCATATACAACATGACTTACATACCATTTATTATAGTAGTATAACAAAAATCCTTCAAATGGCTAATAATTTAACTGAAAATGCTCAAATTCAACAAACATTTGGATAATTTTATATTAAGTCCAGAAAAGAAGATGCTTGTATACATACAAGAAAGACATAATAAAATAATAAATAAAAGTACAATGAATCATATATATATATATATATATATATATATATATATATATATATATATCTCCAAATGTAAAAGAATGAAGAATAAAATTCAAAATGTTCAAAACATTAATTTAAAACAGGGCTCAATACAAGAGTAGAGCAATAAATATTTATTATACACTGTTACATTTGAACATGTAAGTTACTACTACAAAATTGTACATTTTCTTTCAATTATCCATTTTCAAGGGGATTT